TTTACGTGTGAATGTTTAGGTATAGTTATATAAGAGGGTTTTACTTGTGAATGTTTGTTGAGTTGGTATAGTCTTGGTGTTTGTGTATAGAATCTGGAGTGAGAACGTGACCTGTCTTATTTGTACTGTGAGCCCTTCTTCCCTGCAGTACACACACACACACACACACACACACACACACACACTGTGGTGGAATTTCCGTTCTATAGATTACACCTGTACACGCCATCCACCGGAAGTGTTTCTTCATTTTGTAATCAAACCAACTGTGACCTTCAGTGTGTGTGATCACAGGTTGAGAGTGATGGTTCAGTCTCCTGAAGGCCGGTTTGGCGTCCACCTTTGGCAGTCAGAGATGGTGTAGATAAAGTACTTTGAGGGTCAGCTGGTGGTGTTCATGGTGAAGGTGCAACAGCTGTTAAGGTCAGGTCACATTTGTTGGTGCAAGACCACATATACTAATGCTCACGATGTCACAGTTGGACTAAACACCCCTTTTTTTTACCGGAGGAAAGTCTTGCAGATACAGTACAATAATTCTTCATTGGTGATTAAGCATTGATGGGCGGTGTTGGCATGTGTGCATTGTAGAAAATTAAATAGGAGGGCCACAACGCTCATGTTGTGAGGGGAGAGTAAAACCCAAGTGACCCCAGACCTTTACCCCTGTAGTGATTCATCTCTGCCCCCTCCAAAGACACACACACAGAACCCTCTTGAAAAAATACGCAGAAATCGTGTAATGTGTAAGCTTCCTCCCGGGTTTTCAGGGGAACTAGTGTTCTGACGTGGAAATGTTCCTCACGTAGCGAAAACACCACCACACACTTCTGCCCTCACTCACCACTTGAACAGGACTGACTGGAGAGTAGAGGACCATTCTTCATGGGCCGCTTACCTGCACACGGAGGACGACATACAGGGACACGTGTTTCCTACGTCTGTCGCAAGGAATCTTTATCGCATTTGAAATCTCCTCTTCAAGGGATTACAACCCAATACGAGCAAACATCAGGCTTGAGTCTCCTTGGCGTCAGGTGAGATTCGTCTTACAGCAACAGAGGCACAATAATTACGACGCCCTCATAAACAGTAAGCTCCTGAAAATTTACCGGAATGTTATTGGTAACTTCGATTTGATGGCGAGTCCCTGCCACGCATGACTCCCGTGGCTCCAGAGGTGAAAATATATAATAGATTAATATATTAAGATTTACCGTTGCTGAAATAAACCTGTGTAGCCTTGAGGTTTTTTTTTTTTTGGTCAGGGTTATATGTGGGAAGGTCGTACGTGCCTGTGGAGACAAATGGTGGTTTACTGGAAGGTTCTGTGTGTGTGTTTTAGAGCAGTACACACACACACACACACACACACACACACACGTAATCAAATTTGCAGTGGGAGAGTTACAGAAAGGTTTTTTAAGTTTTAGCAGGTGTGTGGAGCCCTAAGAATATGTATTGCCCAATTCATCCGTTTTTTTTGCTCGGCCCAGTATGTAGACTCGCCAGCAAGATGTGGCCAACACATAACACATGTACAGGATTTAAAGTGACACGGCCAGGTGGCAGATTTTGTGTGTGTGTGTATGTAAATGCTGAAAAGGGCTTACAGCATCTTGTGGGAGTATAGTGGTTTGTGGCTCCCCCGCCCTCCCCCCGCTCTTGTGGCTCTTTTAGTCATATTGTATAGGCGTCCTCCCTCCATCCCTCCCACACATCCTTATCCTCTGTCCTATTCATCTCTTCCCACGTGTCCTCCCTCACCTTTTCCGTCTCCATCTCTCCCCTTTCCGTCTACACTTATCACCTCTCCGCCCTCTGGTAGCTGTTGTCCATCCTCCCCCCCCCCTCCCTCAACCCACCAGTTTCCTCTCACCTTCGCCCCATCTTCGTTCCCCGTCGTGCCTGCTGTAGACGAAGGGTGAGGCTGGTCGACACTAGGTGGTCGAGTGTAAACTTTGGCCAGGTGGTAGAGGGCCTCACCAGGTGTCACTGGCAGTAGTAGTAGGAGGAGGTGGTGGTGCTTCTACAACTCTGTACTACCCACCTCTCTACCACGCCCACGCCCACGCTACACCACCTCTCTACCACCTCTCCCTCATACTACCATATACCCACCCACCATCAGCCCCCCTCCCCACCCCACATTTACCTTCATTACTGTTCCACAAGGTACCTTCAGTGTGGTAGTACCTCACTGGCATAAAACATAGGCTGATTCTTATGTAAAACGTGCCCCTTCTCTCACCTCACACACACACACACATGATGAGAGAGAGAGTTTGTATAAATTATTATGCATTAGGATAGATGTATTATATATGCAAATATTATGGACTAGAGTGTATGTGTGATGGCCTGATGGGTGACATGTATGGGTGAGTGTGGATGATGGAGCTAGGGGGGAGGTCAGGCATCCACACACACCCCGGTAATGCTGGAGTTAGACTTGTGTTTTTAAAGGCGAGGGTAGGTTGTGAGTGTAAACAGGTGGGGGAGCCTTCCTGTTGCTGTACTCTCATGGACTGTTTCCACCTCTGCACACACACACACACACACACACACACCCCCCCTCATCCTTCCTGTACACCCCAAGTCACCCACCACTACCACTCATACACCCCAGGCCACCCACCACTACACCCATACACCCCCAGGCCACCCACTACACACCACCCATACACCCCAGGCCACCCACTACCACCACCCATACACTCCAGGCCACCCACTACCACCACCCATACACCCCAGGCCACCCACTACCACCACCCATACACCCCAGGCCACCCACTACCACCACTCATACACCCCAGGCCACCCACTACCACCACTCATACACCCCAGGCCACCCACCATCTCACCTCATATATCACTGAAAAGAATCACAGGTGAGATAATATGGATGATAAATATTTACCGGTAGATTGGCTTTAATTGTCAACGGGTAATGTTACTCGGAGCTCATGTTACTCTCACGTGATCTTAGTAAATAGCATGGTTAGTATTTCCTGTGGCATCCTCGTGTTCTGGGAGATAAAAAAAAATCACTCGTTTACATTGTGAGGATTAATTAAACCTACTCTTCATGTATAGACGTAAATATAATGCAAATTTTGTGTTTTGTTGAAATGATAAATAGATGCCCGGTGCTGAAGAACGCGGTGGCCACGACTTGTCATTTGAATAAGGTACCACATCACCCCTTAACCTTTCTGTGGCAGTAGTAAAGTCTAGATGCTGAGGAAGTGGGAGGTCGGAGTACCTCACTAGGAGAAATACTTGAAGGTGCATTTGGACAAAATGTTGATCATTAGACTACCTGTTTTAACATGAAAGAAATCTAGCAACTATCTTTACTATGATGTTAACCTAACCTACTGTAACGGGTTTGAATGTTGTAATGTGTTGGGAAATTAAAGGTACTGTAACAGGGTATAGTGTGTTCCTGTACACTCTCTCGACGCGGTAAACGAAGCTCTCCAGAAGGGCTACGTGTCACTGATGTTAACGAGACGTACGTACGTACGTACGTGTGTGTGTGTGTGTGTGTGTGTGTGTGTTTGTGTGTGTGTGTGTGTGTGTCGCTTGGTACTGATCCAAGGTAAGGTTGGCAGCTCTCTCATCGTCACCACCACGATTCCCCATATTATTTTCCAACACTTTTATCACTGTTTGACTGATCACGGTGGTAATCTGCTACTAGACACTTGCTACTACAGTAATTTTTAGACAACTCCTTCCCCTGGTAATATAGTGTTGGTGTGTGATCAGGTTTATGGCTGTTTTTATTTCCTTCACAATGCCGAGGAACACATTAGCCACATCGCACGGTTTTGTATGTGCAGCGAGTAAATGTCGACACGTTGGATGGATGGACATACACCAACGCGCTGAGGTTCTTTTCCTTATTTATAATTATTAGTTATTTAGATTTTCTTGTGTATTTATATTTAGGTAACACCTACGACCTCCCTCGACCGACGTGATGGTGAGATAAAACTGAAAGCATGACTAGTTGAATAATGATCATTGTATTGTATTAATTCAGTTTGTATTTTTACCTTCTGCCACGAATAAATAAAAGCCAACTTGGATGAGACTTATGGGTATAACACAATACTGTCGCTAAGTTCACCCATCAGAGTTCTCCTAACTTAATGTCAGAAGTTGTGGCCTTATCCATTTTTCAGGGTGACTGCGATAGTTTTATTGTGGCGGGTGACCTGCAGACTTTTTGATTATATGGACAGTAAAAGCAGGTGTGTGGTGCATAGGCAGTGTTCCCTCAAGATGACGGAGAGTTAGTTCATTGTGGAGCCCATTCTCATGCCAGAGTACAACCAAGAGTGTCATTCATGACGCATGCCGGGAAGGCTGCTTGCTGTCTGCTGAGTTTAGAGTTGTAATAACATCATAGTTACAGGAACTAGATGATGAGTATTGTGATATCTTTGCTATGATGGTGACGATCATCTTCACACTCCTGACAGTGGCCCGCCTGGAATGCACATTTAACGAGTAGTAAATGTTGCAGTTACAGTGTCATATATGTGGGTAAAAATAAATGACTGTGTTTGAATAAAGTACGCATTCCTTGGCGTTTGGGGCGAGAAGACGCGAGTGTGAAGGAAGGTGGCGTAAATGGTGGGTAGGGTAAGGGGGGGGGGTGAGTTTGGTGGGTGGAGTCTATATTTAGTGTGGCCTCTTGCTCGCACACAGCCCATGTATTAATAACCTGAGCCAGATGGACACCCGCCGCCACCTCCCCCAGCATCCACATCCGCCACACAACAAACATGTGTCGCACTTTACCTCATGCTGATGTCTCCTCACCTAGGCCGTCAGTTTGGTTTCTCCTCACAGCTTCCTTGCGGCCTCCTTAATTTTTTTTACCCAATTGAACATTTATCCTCCTTGAAGATCAAACTTGGCTGGTGATATAATTTAATTGTTATATGTGTGAACAGGTTATGTAACAATGTTGTTCTCTGTTGCAGTTCAACTTCGTGGGTCGAATACTTGGGCCTCGGGGGATGACGGCCAAACAGCTCGAGCAGGAGACTGGTTGCAAGATCATGGTGCGTGGCAAGGGCTCCATGAGAGACAAAAAGAAGGTAATATCACCCTTCACTACTTGCTATTGATTGATTTATTACCCCTAACTAACACATATAACACTATATTAATGAGGTAATCCAAAATATTAATAATAGTGGTGGTGGTAGTGACTGCATTTCACAGCTTGGCTGCTCGCATCCACTACTGAGGATCTCCGTGACTTGGAACTTCACACATCTACCCTATGTTAAGGTCCTCTCTCTCTCTCTCTCTCTCTCTCTCTCTCTCTCTCTCTCTGAGCAACATATGATTATGAGTCAATGTCTTCCATAAACAGCAGCATACACGCCTCCTATGTATACTCACTAAACCCCTATAATTTAAATCTGCAACTGTCTTTTCTTCCCTCACTATTGCTTTCACTTCTGTCACTAGTCACTACCCCATTTCTGAAAAAAAAAGCGTTGGTGACTATAAGTTCCTCCCAGATATACAAATGCAACGATCAAATTCTTTGTAATAGATGCATATGTACGAGCCATGATTCTTTCTCACTCTACCATACACGTTCTCTGGTAACATTTTACAGTATCTAAAATTAATTCACTTGGTTTTTGCTTTCATTCTTTGTCAGCACCATTTTCTTTAGGCATGGCAAACTACAATACAGCAAACACGATCTTTGAAATACCTTGGGTACTCACTCCTCCCTCTGTCTGGCATGCCTTCCCATATACGTCTTTCTCTCCTTTTAGTAATTTTCTTATTTTGATTTCGTTCACACCTGGTTCCTTGTTGTTATTAAGTTTGCCTCACCTCTTCCTCACTTTATTATTATTATTTATCCATTTTCCACTACACTTTCCAATGTTCTCCATCCCAAAGAGGAAAATGCTGGCATGCGTTATTTTCAGCAGTAGCTCAATACATTCTCGCCAACTCTCTTTCAATTCTTTATTTATCCACAGTATTTGCACTTTTCTATTTTATGGCCATATCAATTGGTCTTTTCGTCTTTCTCACTTTATTCACATCTCTCCAGTACAACTTGTTCTCGCTAAAACTTTTCATTCTCTCGTCTTTTTCTCTTCTTATTTACTTATTTATATTATTCTTTATACAGGTATACCCTTCTTTTAATAGCCATGTATTCAGCACTACTCACATGATTCCATACTTGTGGTTGGTGCTCACATATAATATACTGTACAGCTTATCATCCTACCATTGATTTTATTAGCATGGGAATGATGTCAAGCAGTGTACAGTAATTATTTATATTAATGTTTGTACAGTAACTAAAACAACTATCTGTGCAAATTTTGTGGGAACAATATGAGACCATGGACAATATATTTTGGTATATGAGGGCTGTCACTAGTCACACGTCAAATTTTGGTGCATATCGACCCCTGCTTGCACAGATAGTTGCTTTAGCTACTGTACATAATGGACTATAGATGCAATGACTTGTTTTGTATGTGCACATTGTATACTGTATGTTTCTATTAATTTTATACCTGTGTGAATTATTATTTTTTTATGTATTGTACCTGCAGGGTTTTCTAGTTTTTTTTTCCCATGTTAATCTACTCGGATGAAAGTAATAATTTTCTCTATCCTATGCAGGAGGAGCAGAACCGTGGCAAACCCAACTGGGAACACTTGAATGAGGAGCTCCATGTGCTCATTACTGTAGAAGACACAGAGAATAGGGCCAAACTCAAGATCCAGCGGGCTATTGAGGAGATCCGCAAGCTGCTCGTGCCATCAGTAAGTTCATTTTATCCACAACTGTATTGGGTACGGGAACTAAACGGGACACTTACCTTCTTTGGCTTATATAAAATCTGTTTTGGGATCAGTTTGAAATTGGGAAAATTAAGAGTAACAGAAATTCAACATTATTTACTGTAAAAACAGATCTTGTGAAAATACAACACAGTAATGGTGTGTGTGTATCTGTGTCTGCATGAGGGAGAGAGATCGATTGATTTTTAAGACAAACAACAGCACAGACCTGCAGTAAATCTCAGGTACAGTAGATGTACTGTAAGTTGTTCATCAAGTACAGTATTTGTGCCTGAGCAGCCTGGTATACACAGTACTGTACAGTACCTACTGTACAGTACAGTACCAGTATTTAATGGTGATATCACTGACTTGTCAATGTACGTAATGTCATTTCAGCAGAACTTGTACTGTTTTATTTATCTATTTTGACTGGTCATGTAGTATTGTACTATAGTGTCTTGGTTTTGTGACAGTTTTCAGTTAACATGTTATTTTATAAACTAACTTATTATTTGTAGGCTGATGGTGAGGATGAACTAAAGAAGCGGCAGCTGATGGAACTTGCCATCATCAATGGCACATACAGAGATTCTTCCAGTAAGAATGCAGGTATGTTAGAAAAACTAAATTAGTATTGATTTTTCGTTTCTTTATTAGCTTTTCTCCAATAGTGACATGTTTGAATCCCTTTGGTTACATTGCTTAAATAATACAGTACTGTATTTTGAGTTTTGTGAGGACTTGTGTGTTTTACTGGCATGCGTACTTATTGTGAGTGCTTTTGTAACTACATTACAAATTCTTAACTTGTGTGATATTAAGCTTTGAATTATAAAAAAAAAAAAACATAACCCCTTGAGGCCAGATAATTGGTGCTTTGGAAGTTCATGGGATGTGGGCTGAGCTATATGCTTGATCACTACTGTTGTGTTATGAAGAATCAAGTGGAGCTGTATACTGTACCTGTATTGTGTGTGATTACCGACACATTTTACAGTCTACAGAAATCCCGATAATGAAAGCCTAAACACTTTCAAATTAAAGTTAGGTTAATGTGTATTCTACATGTACAATACAGTACAGTACTGTACTTCTAAACCTTTATACAGTTTGGTAACTTTTCAGTTTTCTCTTCATTCACTGGTACTGTATATACAATACTGTAAAGACAAATTTACAAAATTTAGATAACAAACTGAACTTATCAATATATAAAAATACAGTACTTGTTGTCTTAAAAAAACAAAACAATGTACAGTATCAACATTGAATAAATATAAAGTTAGATGAGAATATTGTAAAAAAACTTTGAACATTGACACGGAAGATTGCCTACGACTTTTTTAATATAGGAAAGGGAATCTTAACACAGTAAATTACCAAACAGACAAGAGAAAATGTACTGTATACTGTAGTGTTCTGAATATAACCAAGGATAACTTTAGAGAAATAGCATTAATACAGGTAGAAAAGAGTGGACATGATTACTGTACTGTACTTTTTCCCCCAACATATCTCTTGCCATAAAGTACTTGAAAGATAAATGCCAATAATGATAGAAAAGCAGAAGTTGGCAAGGGTAGCTAGATACAAGATCATTTGAGTTTCTCCTCCTGTCACTCATTTATTTTAGCCGCCTTAAGTGTTCTGCTCTGGTGTTTGGCAAGTACTGTACTGTATAATACATTGAAGCATAGTGGGAAGTTATACCAAGATCCATGTCATCATTTACCTGTGATTTACCGCCAGTCATTTAGAAGATAGACAATAAATTGCAGAAAATTAATGGTACATGATAAGAGGAAAATGGGTATGGCTAAATCATGAAGTGGCATTGAGTGAAAATTACCACTATGTGTTATTTGTTGGTATTGTAATGGTGTTTCATGACAAAGATGGATGATCGATTAGGCACATTGGTAAAATATGCTACTAAAGCTTGCTAAAAGAACATGTTGAAAGTAACTCAAGCAGGAGAAAGTTTTGATGTTTGAAAGGGAAGGGAGTCGGACTAACACAGGGATTTAGCCAGGGTATTGAGACCAAGAGTAGTGTGAGTACTGTAGTATAAAGATAATAAAATAATGTGGGGGTTTAATCTACTTTGTTTTGCTCAAGGTGAGTTAGAAATATTGGTGGACTTTCTTCACCCCATTTAGCAGCAGGCTGTTGGAGTTGTTTCACCTCAATTACTAACTTGTTCTGTTTTTGTCACAACGCAAACAGTTCCTGATTTTTTTTTTTTTTTTTAATTATATAAACTGGTGACTTGGTTCGAAACGCCTCGGGTAAACCTTGGCATGTCAATACGGCAGACTCCGAGGATCACAATATACAACTTTGCTTATCATTGGGCAGCTTTTGTTGCTAGGCATTGGGTACCTGGCCTTGAGTAGGGATAAATGGTTTGGTCTGAAGTTCTGATATCAAGAACTAGCTTTGGATGTTAGCTGAGGAGGACACTGTGGTCCCACTGCATGTACAGTATCTTCATCTCATTTGTGGCTTTATTGTTTGCTTACCTGTGATCAGTAGCTGGTCATAGGTAAACCCTCCTGAGGTTTTCTTAACCATTTTGAACATGAATGGGTTATTTTGAGCAGCTAAGTTGGCTGATACAACTTTCCACAAAATACTTAGTTATAAATCTCAGTTGATAGTGTGCATGTTGAGCAGCCTTATCTTTGAGTCTTGCTTCAGGATCATTTTGCCTTGGAAAGTCTGTGGATATATAATGACTGTGACTAGCAAATATATATTTATTTTTTTCAATGTTGTTTTCAATACAGGTGTTTGATAGGTCTTGTTTTGAATCCTTATCAGGTTAATAATTTCAAAGAACAGTATGTGTCACTGAGCAATATCTAGGCTAGCTGGTTAATTTGCCTCGGGCTTAGGCATCAATTTGTTAGGTTGTGTGTTTCATGTTGCAGTATTTACTACATATTGATTATTTTTTGTGAATGTGTCTAATTTTGAAAATATTTACGGGGGCCTCACTTTTTAGTGAAGTTTGGGAATTAGAACCTGTTATGTCAGGTTGGTTGACTTTAAGGGAGTTATGCAAGTCATTCAGCTCATTTGCTCCTGTTGCAATTAGAAGAACAGAGTAAGGAGTTAAAACTGTGTAAGTATTTTGATAAGGTGTGGCCCTTTCCAATTCATATATACTGGGGAAGGTCTTCTGCACTGGTGGCTCAGCAGTTAGGTTTTAGGTTGACAAATTCAACTCAAAGAATTAAAAATAGGAACACCCATGAAAGTAGTTTCTTCCTCTTGTTGGCCATCTTTGTGTGAGAAAGAATCTTATCCAGGACAAAGATTTGGTTTGTCAGGAGAAGCATGAAATTGCTTTCCCATTGTTTTATCCTGGCTCTGGTGCTTATTGAGGGAAAAGAGGTAGATGGTTCTTCCACAGATTTCCTAGTTGCCTGGTGATGTTGGGTTAGAATCTTACTCCGAGATGATTTTTAAGAGGCATTTTATTTTCTTTGTTTACCTGGATGATTGGCTGGCTTTAGGTCCCTTAATAACCACAGCATTTGGGGAAATCAAGGGTACCCCATGTACTGCAAAAAACATGACATATATGATTTATTATATATACTGTATATATATATATATATATATATATATATATATATATATATATATATATATATATATATATATATATATATATATATATATATATATATATATATATATATATATATATATATTTTTTTTTTATGAAATTGAAGATATAAAATTTAGAAGTCATAAAAACCATATACATAGAAAACTTGTACTCATCATGGGTGGCAAGTTATGACTGAAGTGAGACAGAGAGTAACTTGCAACTGGGGACCCCTGGTTGTTGTTGTGATGTCAAAAGGTGGTTGTGGGTTCAAATGACATGGTGGGTGGTAAACCCTTATGTAGGTGGTAAGACAGGCTTTGGCATTTTAGGTGTGGGTGAGGGGCCACTGAAAATAGGAGGATGGGGGGAATGAGGCATAAATAATCCCAAATTATTCAAAGATGGTGATAGCAAGTTAATCCGAAGCTTCACTAGCTTTAAATTCATGGGCCAAATGCCAGTCATCTTAAGATGACAATGGCGTTATTTGGATAATCTAGTGCAGACTATTTTTTAGAAGTCTTATCATCCTGTGTGTTCTCTTTAATTACTAATATTATCAAACGACAATGTACCCTGTACATTGTATACAATGAAATGTCCTAGATATGTAAAAAGTATATACAGTAGTACAACACTTTTGACAAATACTAAACCACACAGTGTGTTAGAAATCACATTTGAGGTTCAGGGTAGAGGGGGAATCATCCTCATCTAATTACCCAAAAACAAGAATGGCATGGGGAAAGAATGTAAGAAATGCCATTAGAGTTAGGTATCTGACAAGAGAAACCATGCAGTATGGAAAGCTGCCACCAGGTAACTGATGCTAACCCATGCAAGTGTAGAAAATGGTCATACATTGATGATGATGATATTATCAAAGAAATAATCCAGAAATATTTCTGACTGGAGACATGATACATTTGTATTATATCACCTACCCTACAGTACTTGTATTGTGTTCAGTTGTTTTGATGGCTGTACAGTATATCATCTTTCTTTTTAATTATAATTATGTAAATTACCCATTATAATAATAGATATCGATACTATTGCATTTGAAACTTGCCCCCCAAAATGAAAGTCTGCTCCATCACTGCAAAATTGTAGATACACTGTGGAGCTATACAATATATACCCAGGGTGGGCTAAAGTAATCAACTGATATAACATATTATTGGTGTGTGTGATTGAAGTGCTGAACCTTGAATTTATTTTTTTAACAATTTGTGATATTTGTTGTGATAAGTAAATTTAACAAAATTCTAATGATATTTGCGAAAATCGAAGCATTTTGGAGATGACACTGCAGCACATACAGTACATACATACATGTATCAATGAGCTCAAGGGGTTAAATTAAAATCTATGTGAAAGTCCCATGTACTGCAAGAGGTGCACATGTCAAGCATGCTTACACTTAGTCCTTACTATTGTCCTGGTAAAATACAGTCGACTCGTTAGAGTGGCCATTTCCTAACATTGGCCACTAATCAGTAAGGCGAACCCAATTAACCCTTTTTAACCTTGATTACATTCACTTATATTGCCTTTTGTTTTGGCCATTTCCTTACAGTGGCCTTTTTTGCCTCTGCCCAGAGCAGCCACTATAACGGGGGTCGACTGTACCCAGTGAACGGTATAGTACTATTGCCGTTTTAAGTCATATTGTTTTCTTTATTATTAGTATTCCTGTTAGAAATTATAAATGTCTGAGATAACATAATTTTATTATGTAATAATTGAGTAAATTTTGCCCCCATTTATTCTGAAGTAATAAATTGTGGCGTCCATATACAGGTATGATCAGTGCCATGTTTATACCAATTGGAAAACAGCAAGAAGATAAAATATCTTTCTTATCCATAATTGTGTGTGTACAGTATATGCATGTTAACCTTATGGATATTATATTAACAACTGCAAATAAAATTTTACCCTGCACAAGTATTTACTGTTCAGTGATTTTTTCATTATAGAATATTTGATGAAAAAATATGCACTATTTATTGATTATAACCTTTAAAAATTATATATACCTGTACATGAACTTCTCTTTTTCCATAATTAAAATTAATTATAATGTGAATAGAAATTTGGATTTATGCAGCTTGCTAAACCCACTATGAAATGAATATTATAATGCTGTAATTTGTTAACACTGGAGTGCTTGTGAGCTGTGAGAACTAATACAATGTTCTTATTTTCATTCTTTCTTTCTTTCTTATATAATTGTTGTTATACTTAACACTTGAATTAAAGAATATGGTTTTGGGTGATTGAATTTAAATAGTATGAAACTACCTTCTATCTTTTCTAGAGATTTGAATTTATTAAATTTGGCTTATTATTTATGTTATAAATTTAACGAACTACTAATACATATTAAGGAGTGTGTGTGAGTGTGTGTGTGTGTGTGCTGGTGGTGGACTGACTCACTAACCCTACCTTCTCTATTCCTTGCCAGAAATTGAGGGACTGGGTCATCTTACAGGAGATATTCCACGACTGCTCGGTCCAGGGATGACACTTCAATCACCTCTGCGCACTACTACATCCCTTGGTGGCCATCCTCTCATCATGCCTACACGTATCCATGTTCCTACAACAACTGCATTATTAAATGGAACTGGAAGCATGCCTCCACCATTAATTGCTGCCGGTGATGCTGCTGCTGGTCTGATGTACGCCCCATATGCTGCTGCTGCTGAGTATGCTGCTGCCAACTATGCTGCCCTCAGCTCCCCCCTCCTCACTGAGTACCCCCCGGACGCTGCTGGTGGGTTGTTTGCCAGATGAACCATGTACTAGTCCACCCACACCACCCACACCACCGCACCCACGCACCGCTCACACACCCACCACGGGTTAACCACACTATCTGGCCATGTTGCCACGCACAGCATTTGCAGTGTGCGGTGGTGTGTTGCCATGATATTCGTGGAACTCGTCAGTTGTGCTAGGGATTCCAGCTCTGGCCTAACATGTTCTTCAGTGCATAGGGAAAGCTTTCGGTGAAGTAATAGCTGTTTTGTGTAATAAGATTTGTCATTGGTCAAGCTTTTTTTATTTATATATTTTTTTATCTCAATTTAAGTTATCAAATGTTGCTCATCAGCGTGCATATTAAGCCCAGTGATTTGTTTATTGCATTCCATTTTGTGGCCAGTGCTTTCATTGTAAATGTTTGTATGGTGCTTTTTTCTACCTCTGAGAAATGTTTAAAAAAGAAATGCTTTAGATCACTTGTTTCAGTTGCCAAAATATTGCCATGTGACTCAGAGGAATGGTTGTTGTGAGGGTTATATACTGTCAAGACTCAACTTGGCATAGTGCATTATAAAATAATTAGAAACATATTACAATTTTGTTAAGAGTCTGAGGTTGTGAAAGTTGATGGCTCTATATTTATTTATATTCAATTGAAATAGGTAGTTTATTTGCTCTTTTGCAAAGAGTTGTATGGAAATGCAATGGCTGAAGGCTATATATTACATTGATATTTTCTTATTGGCAATAAGATGTAACTACTTAGGTTAATTAGGTATATATATATAGGATTGTACTTAATAGTCTCTTGGTCGTGGTGGTGGATACAGTACTGTAGTTATTCTTGGTGTTGGGTTTGGCAGTCTTGCATGCTTTAGATTATTTAAGAACATCTAATTTTAATAAAAATATACCCACTTTCTCCTTAGTAATGATAAACTTGCTTAACTTTTCATAATTTAGCCCTCCAGCATAATCTCTAAACTGTAGAACAACTCCTTTAAATGGTTTAGCTGATGTGTTTCAACAGCTGCAACACTCCCTACATATTGAGAGTTGTGGTGCTGTTTGCAAAGTCTCTGATTAAAAGAAACATTGATGAAACAAAATACAGTAATTCTTTGGTTTACATATTTTGGATAAAATTGTATTGAAGTAATATTACCATTCTTATTATCAGAGCTGTGTAATGGTCAATTTGCATGATGCGTGTTCATGAATTATCATCATTTAGTATGCCACGTTTTGTAGAGCTCTCATATTTTCCCAGTGGAAAAATCAGAATGTGGGAGTAGTTTACGAGCTTAGAGAAGTCACAGTACTCACATGAGACCAGTTTAAAGGAGTTACTCTGTATATAATGCAAAAATTATCATATTGCCTTCCTATATATTTAATGTTTTATTGGTATAATTATTATAATTTTTATGGCTCATATTGAAAGAGGTGTATCACTACTGTATTTAGAAAGGCAATTTGATAAACATGAAGCAGTTAATATTCATCTTTTTTTGAACAGGAGCAGGTTTGTATCATCTTCTAATCTCTAGAATAACACCCGGTAATAATGAGGTTGCTTTCTCAAATTGGTGACATTTAACAGTTGTCTGCAGTAGGACAAGTCCCAAACTTAGTCATCATATAATTTCCAGATTCTCAATAATGTTTTCATCTTTCCAAATGGTGATAGCATAATAAATTTAACAGCTACCAAGGGACCAAGTTACTAACCGAGGTGGCAGCAACCAGGCAAGTCGGCTATGAGTCCGGTCTCATGCCTCAACTGCTGCACTAACACTGACTTTGGCTGTGTTCATAATTGTTCAAAGTGATAAATGTGAGTGTCCTGAATGCTATTGTCAGGAACCAGATATTGAGGGTAGCAGTAACAATGACATGCATCTCAGTGGACACTTGCTGAATTATTTCTGAGCACAGCCTTAGGCTTGTATAATAAAAGCAATTGCCTTGAAGGGGATGAGCAAATGTCCACCTGTGCTTCATTTAGGGATTAAAGTAAAGTACTTGTTGCTCTATTTACACATGCAGAGACATGTTGTTTTAACACTTCTATTTTTTGATTACAGTATATTGTATCATTATTATAGTAACCATAGAAAATATTGGTTAGAACTTCAAGGATTTCTTAATTTTAAAGTTAAAGTAATCAGTCATTCAACAAGGCAGTTGCTTGAGAAACTGTTCCAGATGGATGTCCTCATAGAGGTCACTAATGTGCCATAATTAACACCATTCAATCTTAGGTTGAAGAGAAAAGAAACGGGTCAAATGCTAACCGCACTGTTTTTGCCAATTTCATGATTCATGGTCACAGTTTCAGTAATAATGACAAAGATTGGCTGATAAAACTGCTAGGTCAAGAGTATGTGTATATATATATATATATATATATATATATAGATATATATATAATATATATATATATATATATATATATATATATATATATATATATATATATATATATATATATATATTATAATATATATATTATAATATATATATTATAATATATATATTATAATAATTTTTTTTTTCATCATTAACTTGGTAGTAATGGTTCTTGGAAAGAGAGAATTAATCAGCTGGTATTTGTCAGTATTATTAAAAATGTAAACTAACACATGTGACCTCTATCTGTGGTCTTACTGCCCTGTTAGGTAAGCAGGGGGGCCCTCCACCACACTGTTGCTCCTTATGTAGTTGATTCATAAATTTTCTGACTTCAGATATGATGACATCAGCTCATGATACTGTACATCACTCTGTCTTGATATGTCCTCTCATTTTAGATCTACAAAATTCTTGGATTAAGTAAACAGATTAATTAGCCAAGGTGATTTGTAAAGGTCAAACATATCCCTTTCACAGACTGTATAATCAGAAAAACACAATTTTCAGTTTGAAAAGTCTTCTTATGATAAATTTTAATTGAGATTAAGAATTTGTAAAGTTTATTATTACAATATTAAAAAAAATACTGGTTCATGTCATTATTAAACTAAACAGTCACAGTAGAATCTAAGATCATGTTGAGAATAATGATTTACTTAAGAATTTCTATACTGCACTGTATAGTATCTATTATCTTGAATCTTTTTTTATGTAGGATGGATTTAGGGATACAACCACCTCAAAGAAGGAGGAAGTGATATGGTGAGTTATGCCAGACAAATGTTGTGATGAGAAAAGGCAAATAAAACTTGCAGAAATAACCACACCTATTTACTTGAATATTCAGCTTACATACAAAGTACACAGATGAATCTTAACATCCTAATTGCTTCACAACCCTTCATACCAGTTCACTGTGCATACTAAGTTGAGTTTTCATGAATTTACTTGTAAAATGAATATTGGCTTTCATTTATATTGCTACTTGGTATTTTTTAGAATACATTTGGTTTTATTGTTTCTAAGAAAAAGGTCGATTTGATAATTTTGGACTATATAGCCATATACTGTAAAAAAAAATATCCCCATCTTGCATTAATGACAGATCATCAGTAGTAGTAGCAATTTTTTTTGTTTTTATAAACATTTGGCATATTGTGGTGTAAAATGCAGTAGTGTGGCAGCAGGGCCTCCCATGAACACCCACAGCTTGGTTCAAGCTCTGAGGCTCCTCCCTCCCTTGGGGCCACTTTTATCAAAATAACATCTACTAACAACTAACTGGCCTTGATCATTTCCAGCTGCAGTCTGATTTCGGTGGTGCTATCAATGTACATACACATGTTTGAAATCAGTTTTTTTTATAAGATGTCTTTAGCTTGAGCCTAGTTGAGTATAGGCTGGCTCATATAAACTTTTGTGATTTTTTTATCATTTATTTTTGTACTGTTGGAGTTTAATTCTTTTTTAGTTACCAGTGAGGACTTTCATGTACTAAAGCTGCTTTTGTTTAGCTTTGATACTGTCAGTTGCTTTTTATATGTTATGCACAACAGGATGTAGTGGCAAGGTGCCAGTCAGCACCATGATGGATCTTTGTAATTTCCATTATATGATATGCCATTAGTATGTTGTACTGTGCAGCATTATGGTGATGCAGATAGATTTTTCCCCATAGAAATGAGTATTAGTGCTTTGCATGAACGGAGAAACATTTGGGGCTCTGAAGTAAGCTGTATTTGTGATGTATCAACTCTATTGATATTTTGCTTGTTGACTTCAAGTGTTGTATTTATATTTTATTTATATAAATATTGTGGGTCAACATAAGAGTACTTTTATAGAGCTTTTACATCAGTAAACAGTGCCAATGAAGTGCCATTGCTATGAATGGGCTTGATTTTGGCAAACTCGAGCCGTTGTTTGGTGTGTACGTTGCCACATGATGCCATCACGTTGTGTTGTTCAGGTGTAGCAGTCAAGCAGCGGCGCCATTTGGGCCAGGCACGGGAGCACCCCTATCAAAGGACGGGTACGCTCTCGTAGGCCACAACCCAGGTTAGTTGAACGTCCTTTGAGACGATCGCCCCTATTTCATGCTCCCCCCACCCCTTCCCCCACCTCAATAGTTAGATTTTATAGATAAATCTAGTGTTAGTTGTTCATACAATGTACAGTATAGGTAGTTGGTTAAAGACTCCAAAAAAAATGTTTTTGTAGTCCTTCATTATTAATGTATCCTCAAGTTTATGCAAGAGTTTTCAGAATTCTATGTTGACTGTTGATGTGGGGAAGTGATTTATGTTTTAGTCATGTAAAAAAAAATATATATATTTAAATAAATTTTTATGATGTTCGGGCCTGGTGAGGTGCTATATAATCTCCTTCGGTATGTCATTTAGCAGTTTCTTATAAACATTCCGTCCATGCATTTGTTTTCCAAAGGGCATCTGTATAGCTTTTTATATGTGAAACTTTTTTTTTATGATTATTTATTGCCTTTTGATTAAAGAAGGTGCATTATTAAGGGAATATAAAATATTAATCATAGTCAGTTCATTTTGGGCTTTGGCAGCATTTTTTTATTTTTTACAATGTAATTTTTTATCATGATATACTATATTGTATTATATTATCTTTTTTCTCCTTTTTTGACAAATTTAAATATCAATTTTCCATAATATATGGAAGTTTATCACTGGAGGAGTTCTCACCATGCCCACTTAGGAAGTGTTACTAGACCCCAAGTGTGGCCGGTCAGCAATAATAAAATGAATAAAAAAATGGAAAAATTATGCTTGTTAAAGAAGAATTCTAGTTTGATCCATGGTTGGGGTTTCAGTTTTTATATTCCAAATACAGTTATAGATGGATTTTTATCATTCATATAATCCCATCCAAGGCTCATTCTGGCGTAGAGCATTTCCTTTGTGCAAAATGTAGTTTACTAGATGGTGGTGATGGTAACATGAACTTTGAGGAAGAGGTGAGCAGGCTGTGCCTAAAAGGACTCTTTTGAAAAGTGAATGTAAATCATCAACACTCAGTGTTTGTATCTTTGACTATCCTGACCTGCCTCACAACTTGGGATTTGTTGTCTGCCATAATTTGTTTCCATTTATTGTAATTTAAGTCATTTAAAGTATGCTTTAAGAAGGGTAGTTTATAAGGACTGTGGTTGCATCACCACTGAAAACTGGGGCCCAAGAATATATTGTGGTCTCATTGTTTTGAAGTACAGGTCACAGCTACAAGAGCCCAAAGTATCTGTATATCTCTGGATCTTTGAATACCAATAAGTCATGAAATAAATTGATGAAGAAAAGTAAATAATGCTTTTCATTCCAAGAAGAAGAAACAAAAACATAAATAAGGGTTATCCAACAGCATAAAGTGAATAATAAAAAAAAAAAAAATAAATGTATGAAGAGGAAACTAGCAAAACATTAGAAAGTAAATAATAATGTATTTAATCACCAGTTGCATAAAGACAACTAACCAGCCTTGAGGTATTTGTTGGGCCGTAGTCATGACTAACGTACAATCCTGACTAATGGTCATAAGACCGTGTGTGCTTGCCTGAGGAACCAGCCAGTAGTGGGGGACAGTAGCCTTAGCTTAGTTTTGGGCCAAACCTCTTCTCTCCAGCTCCTCCCACTTGGTGCTTCAGGGTCAGGCTTTCACTCTCTGACCCAACATCATTTTCATTAAGCCACACATTCATGACTCACTTTGTATAGTATTCAATTCTTGGACTTGTAGATTTGTAAACTGCATTATATATCTCTCTCTCTCTCTCTCAGAAGTAAACACACCTCACATCACTAGTAATCTTTATTTACTAACTTACTCCTTTCTCTTTTTTTTTGTATTTTCATCTTACTTGCCAGAATTTGTCAGCTCATTGTATCCTTCCTTTTATTTTATATTCAAGACTGACAGCTTTAACTTGAGAGCATCTGTTATTTAAAACCATAACTATCAATCCTCTTCATTTTATTTAATACTGTATTGTACTGTTGTAGGAAACCACAGTATGACTAAAGACCATTCCTCACTCTTCAGTCATACATAAACAAATTTATGATATACATACATGCGTACATACATTCTTATGATACACCATTTGTATTCTTGACTTATACAGCAAGTCCATGCTTTTTTTTCTTTTAATTACTCTTATCAAATAGAATTTGTGCTCCACTTATTCATCACATATTTGGTTATAAATTTTTACTCCTATTATTTTTTTTCTTTGTCTTTTATGTTCCATTATATATATCTTTCATATTATGCACATTTTATATCTTACATTCCAATGTATTTGTCAGTTCAAGCTTCATTTGTAGAAGAGACGGCATAGACACTGCATTGTCTTTTGCTTTGAAGTGTGTGTGTGTGTGTGTGTGTGTGTGTGTGAGAGTTTGTGTTCTATTGGTCCCCTTTTCCCAATAGTTCTGTATTCTTGTTGTACATAAATGCTTTAATCACCAGAGCTCATAGTATTCACAATGATATTTTCTTTATAAGATTTTGGATTGTGGTGCCTTAGACGAATCGGGAAATTATTTAGGTAGAAATTTTTTTAAGTTTAGATAGGTTCTTTGGGTGTACAGTATTTTATTTATTTTATTTATTTTTTATTCTTGAAAAGGAGAATTTTTTTTTTTTTTGTGAATACATACATGAAAGATGTTTTGTTACTTGACTGCAGTATAACTAGACTTGGAGCAAGTATTTTTAACGTGTACCATAGAAATTTTGTTTGAACACAATTGTAGGAGCTCGTTTGTATTAATATGTTTTGTGTTTATTTGTACATCGCGAACATTTGCATACTCTTCACACAGTTGTATCATCGCCTTCTCATGCCATATCCAGACTCAGGATACATCACTGCATATTCATCCACAACACTTCTCAAGATCTTCCTGCAATTCTATAGCCCTTAACTATAGGGTATTGCTTTTTATCTTTCCCCTATCCTCCATCCTTTGCTGCCTGTTTATGGCTGGCGCTGTCACTCACATAGCGGGTGGTTCCGCATGCATGTTGCCAAGCAGGGCACTGTAGAGCAAAACTGTAGGTGGGCACTGTACATAAAAACTGCAGCTTTGTGTCCTAAGCCAGTGGGTTCATGGGTGGTTGATACAGTGCACCTTCACGTGTAAAGTTCATAATAATAATTAATCATAATAATAATAATCATATTTAGATTATGATGCTGGGGCATCCTGCACCAGTGTAATGTACTAACATTCGTTTCTCTTTTTCTGTTAACTCCCCTCTGGCTCGGATGATCCTGGTCCCTCAGCTGACCTGGCGCGTTGCTAACCCGCCCCGGGCTCCTTCTCTTGTGTCCCTCGTGTCACTACTGACCAGCACTGAGGCACCACCACCACCACTCCACCACCACCACCACTCACCCTAGGACACACCACTAACCGCGCTGCGCTCTGGGTGCCGCCGCATCGCCCACCCAGCTCCATGATCGTCGGTACGTGCCCTCTTAGCCGCTTAATGCCGCCCAAGAACAAGGGCAAGTTGATGACCTATGGGTCTTGCGGCTGCCCCACTGCCGATCCGTGAATGAGGGCGGGGCTTATTACCTTCTGGGCGGGCACGAGGAAACTTGTCCACATTTGTGGAGCCAACATGTTCCTACTGCCTGCCCATGGGGCATGACAACCACCAGTTTGTCAACTAAACTTTAAAGTACTAACTTGTGTAGAATTACTAAATAGCACAACAAAAACCTCCTTCACAAAGTTCAAAGCATTCCTAGGGTGGAATAATGCTCAGCTACAGGCAGCTCCTACTTAGAATCTCGAGTAATAAGAGGTGATGAATCAGTGAGAGGAAATTAACTATATTTGTATACTGCGTAATGAAGTTTGAGTAACTTGAGACTGGTACTATATAAAGTGTGCATTTAGAGATGGTGCTAATGTTAAGCTTGGTCACACAGCTTTATCGTTAGGGTCTTTGTGTTGTTGGTGTTATATCTTTATTAAATAGAATAGCAAATAGTTGTTTAAAGAATCTCGATAGCTTCTATTACAAAGTGTCATATAACAGGTTTGAGCCTTTATCAAGTCTCATTCTATAATATGCGATTCAATGAATTGATTAAATTAAAGTTCATTCATTGTATATTGGTTGATATTTTTGCCAAGATACAGCATAAGTGATGTTGCAGTTTATGAATTTGATTTAAACTGAGTGGTGATATGCAGAAGATATTTGCAGAATTAAAAGAAAATTATCAAGAAAGATTCAGAAGGCATCATAAAATTGTGAACCAAGCACAAATAAATGTGAATTTTTTAAGTACAATAATTTATTATGACTACACTAATCTGACTGATTATTTTGTACAAGTTTGCATATAAGCTTTCCTTTGAGTTCTTAGTAGTTAATTTATGGATTTTAATTGGTTTGTATACATTTATAAGTCCAATAGGACATAGAATCTTTTGATGATGACATAATTAGTATGCTATATTACCTTTTTGAGATCTCAAATGTATTAATGTACTGTAGTTGTCAGACTATTGGAAAAGAAATTCTTACTTTCAAAAAATTTATCACATGTAAACATTCTAATTTAAGTCAAATTATGAAGTTGAATACAAGTGCCTTGGTCTAGTTTGTACAGTAGTTCAACAGGACTTGAGAACTATTATTTTTGCCCTTTAAAATTATTTCCTAAGTTCTCCCAAAGTGCCTTCCATAGTGGAGCCTAACAGACCTCTCATATAGAGTTAAATGTGCCAATAGGAGATAAAATTGTGCCACAATAAGCAACTGAATGCCTTGGTCAGGGACTCAACATGGCTGATCTTTTGTTTCTTGGACATTAGTGGAAGCCTTGTTGCAGTGGTCTTTGAGGACTCAACTTGCTGATTGTGAGGCAGTTAATAAATGAATGTTAGCAGGTGAAGGTGTGACACTTATGTACATAGTTGTTCATCATCTCATTATTGTACTTAACCATTTATTGTACTTAAGCATGGACTTATGCAATGACAATTAATTGAGAAGTATTGTTGGGGTAGAAAGCCTAATGTACGAAGGTCATTTCTATTTTAGTTTTCCCATTGTCGCCGTTGTTTGTGCCATACTTGGATGTTTGGAAAGCATCCAAGATTCGCCTTCGTCTCAGTATGTGCAAATATTATTGTAAGTAGTTGTACTTACCAGAATTATCACAAGTAGTTATAAGTAGTATGTAATATGCATTAACATCAAACCATTATAGGGTGGAGGTTCCTTTTTCATCACTTGTGGATAAGCCGTTGTACGCATATGTGCCAATTTTTTGCATAGGATACAAATTCAGCCTTGTTAAATAATCTTCTCTTATGTTGCCTTATCTTGGTTGTGACTTCCTCAGAGCTCTAGTTGCTCCAGTTCAAGATTTCTCTCTTACAATCATTTTTTTTCTCATGCATGTAATTGGATGTATACTCAAATGTATACAATATTGTATACTCTGATTAGACTAAAAAGTGTTCATGTTAACCTGGTAAGTGAACTAAATGTATAATTATTTAAGCACAAGAATCTCCGTTTCTAGATGTTATTTTCGTAAGTATGAAGGCCCCTCTTTGAGCTATTTTTATTTTACTTTATTTCATTTTTCTCTATTTTTTTTATTTTCATATGGAAAATTTTCACTTTAATTTCATTATTTATATGCAGTACAGTGCAGTATATATATATATATATATATATATATATATATATATATATATATATATATATATATATATATATATATATATATATATATATATATATATATATATATATATAATAATAATTTTTTTTTGTGCTACCCCATTTAAAGTTGGTTAGTGAGGAGAACGTAGTTGCCATCTGTCCCGTTCAGAAGTACCCACTGGTGATGTTGACTCAGATCCAGCCTTTTATTTAAAGTACATTTAACAACTATTTTAATTTCTGAGGTTTATATTTATTTCTTTATTTAGATAAATATTACATAAAATATGTAAAATAGCATATTACATGATGAACTATTAATGTTTGGTGTGGGTGCAATATACCAGTGGCATTGTCCTTTGGTTCCCAAAACATTGTCCATAGAGATGGCAGTCTTGGGACACATCTGAATCATTGTCATTGTTGCTCATGATTCTTCATTTCAGAAAAAAAATTGTAAATTATAATACAAAACATTAAATAATTTCATAATATGTGTTTTTACTATTTTTATTAATATTCCAACTTGTTTGGAATAAATCAGAATTAGAAATGACTGATATGAGACTAACTGTCAGGATTTGCATTACACAACAAGCTTATGTAGGAAGAAATTTACATGTATATATTTTTTAATATTAACTCAATATAATCATCTAAACCAAAAGTTAGATTAATCCAGAAGGCTTGTTACTGACAACCCTGGGAATGGATTTACTGAGACAGTGGACTACTGATGCAACATAGAAGCTGGACAATGCACTTTAATCCTCCTCAAGATGCAGAATGTATTTCATTTTATAATCTCCTATTCTCTATAATATAAAATGTTTCGTACAAATCCAGCGTTTAACTTGCCCTTCTCCACCTTCCTCAGCTACTAAGATACATATTCAGGAGATGCATTTACCTAACCTTTATACCCTACATTTAGAGAACTGCCAACACGTCCTATAATTATTCTTGCTTTTTTCTCTTTTACAAGTACAGTACAGTACATTCCAGTCACAATATATAAATGAATTTTTTGTTTGACATAAAAACAATTTTTTTTCTGTTCATTTCAGTTGACCCGTATTATTTTTTGAGAATATCGCCACAAAAAGTGCATCTCCCTGATATGGCCCTAATAATTTAATAAACTAATACAGTATAGGATATTCAGCAAGCTAATAAATTGCTATACTGTATATGCATGTTAGCTATCTGATGCTTGATCTTTCAGGACTTATTAGTATCATCCTTAAAGGCTTGGATTGGTAGTGTCAAAAGTTGACTAATCTTAACACTAACGGAAAGATATTGGGTTTTATTTCTGAAATAGACATAATTTATCATAAACCATATTCATGCCTTACCTTATATATATATATATATATATATATATATATATATATATATATATATATATATATATATATATATATATATATATATATATATATATATATATATATATATATATATATATATATATATATATATATATATATATATATATATATATATATTTTACATGAAAACCTGATTATATATCAGTACGTACCTGTTTAGATTACCTGTATATGAACTTCTGCTCTTGTAGAGATACGTATCGCTCTAATTCCAATGTTATTCACACCAATAATGTTGATCAAAAAAATTATGCAATGAAAATTTAATCACACATTTTTGCTGCACAGACTACCCAGCTTCTTTAAATAATGAAATAATGGAACTAAAAAATATTGAAATTTAAGGAAATGTCTGGAAATTAGCTGCATAATAAAACAAAACAAATACTGTATTTACACCAGATTTCTTAATACATATAGTGATGATAACTAAAATGTTCTATAAAATGATGACCACTACATGTGTAAGACCAATTACTTGTATTTCAGTGAATGCAAGCACCATTTGATCAAATTTGTGGACATCTATATACAGGATTCAGGAAGTTTTAATCTACCCTTGACAAACGATCATGTCATGAGTTGTACAGGTATATGCTGGGTTGATTTCCCTCCCCAAAAATCACTATGCCTCCAATGTGTATGCAGAGAAGGGGGGGGGGGGGATACTGATCTGCACTTGTCCATCCCACCCAAATTGATTAGTCGGGTTATGCCAAAAAAAATGAAGCTTTGAGTATTGAAATTATGTACCTGTTTCGTTGTTTGTCATTGAATAACCTGATAAGGTTTTCAAACTTTATATTTGCATTATTGGCAGCACATGTGTTTCTTTCTGGATTATCCAGCAAGCAGAGTATCGTTTATGACTTCTAACACTCAAAAGGGTGGCATGTATAAGCACGTACGACAAATTTTTTGGTGTCAACCATACCCACACCCTTTTAATGCCAAAGATTTAGCAGAAAAGCCTTGAAGCATTTGATAACAATCTTCACTCTGGATAAGTTGTATTGACATGAAGAAATTGCCATTTGGTTGTATGTAATAGTATTTGAAATAATGTGGGTTGCCTCTCCATACTGTACATGAAACTGAAGGAAAAGTGGTCGAAGAAAAAATGTTAATATGAAAGATAATGAAAAATTGCAATGTAAATTATTTGCCATTTTTAAGTTATGTTTATTATGTTATATATATATATATATATATATATATATATATATATATATATATATATATATATATATATATATATATATATATATATATATATATATATATATATATATATATATATATATATATATATATATATATATATATATATATATATATATATATATATATATATATATATATATATATATATATATATATATATATATATATATATATATATATATATATATATATATATATATATATATATATATATATATATATATATATATATATATATATATATATATATATATATATATATATATATATATATATATTATATATATATATATATATATATATATATATATATATATATATATATATATATATATATATATATATATATATATATATATATATATATATATATATATATATATATATATATATATATATATATATATATATATATATATATATATATAAGCTCTTCTAATGCCTTGTATGGATATGTAACTTGATTTTTAATTAATTTTATAAATTTCTATAGATTTTTATGCTTTATGAAACGGTGCACACACAATGACACATCATAAATATGTCAATTCATTCTGTCCACTGATGTTACACTTGTTACCTATCCTTTCACTACTCTGTCCTCCAATGTTTATTCCTACCTATTGGGTCAAAATACTGTGGACTCATTTCAGCACTGTACCTAGAACTCAGTGTGAATATCAGTTGTTCATACAACTATGTAGATACAGTACTCTTATGCCTCACTTGGGGTGTTTTTCAAGTTAAGAAAATTTTTATTGCTGTTTGCATTTGGGACTTTACCATCACAGATCCTTGTTTCAATAGTGTAAATTGAAGTGGGTGTCACTGCTTGAACCAACACACTTCATAACACCTGAAGATGATGTGCCTCCCTGTCTTAAGTCCTCAGTAATTTGTCTGTTTTCAAAGCTCTCAATTTTCAGTCTCCATTACACTAGTTCTATCCTTACTGAAAGTATTTGAAAATTTTTTAAGCTTCTGACTAAACCATTTTCTGTCCATGCAGCTACACCCGACATAAAATGCCCTTCTCAGTTACAGCCCCTGGCCACTTATTTATTTTTTATAAAAAAAAATAATATAATAAATAAATTATTATGGATATTTTATTTATATATTTTTAGGTGTTTACATTGTCCTTTTACATGTGTAAAAATTTCACGATGTTTGGGTAGGCGGGTAGTCTCTGATTACCTCAGGGAGTCGCAACCCTGCCTTGCCAGCTGCTCCCACCCTGTTAGTAAGAGCATCCAGCTATAAAACTTTGCTTCAACATGCCTGATGGCAACCAGGTCACCAGAGCTATGCCCATCCCCTGGTCTCTACTGTATTTTCTGGGCTGGTGTGTTTAGACAGCATGCCAGTACCTTGGTTTCCAGTGGTGATCGGGGGGGGGGGATCCCATTCTGGTTTTAGCCAGCAACTGGTGGCAGGTAATCACAGCTAACCCAAACAAACATGGAAAATGGCCATAAAATGTTGACGATGATGCAATATTTGGGTGAGAGAGAAATTGTACCTGAAATAATTGCATTCAGCATTTGTGAATAGGTATTGTAAATACTAAAATAAATGATGATTCTGTTGAATGGTATAACTTTCAAGAATAACTTCAGACAAAAAGTTACCATTGCTGAGGAATGTTTAAGGATTACAACAACTAACTGCAAAGTTTGATGAAGGTTTTCACTTAAATACATTTGAAAAAAAGAAAGAAAGAAAAGGTTACATCCATGTCTTAAGCAATTTGTGATTTTATACCCTATGTTTTTACACCCTCTCCTCTAAACATACTTTTCGAAAATTAATTGTGTGGTTAGTAGACGTCTTTTGATGACTTACGGTATTTTGAAAGAAAATGTCGTTATTATAGCACTGTATCTGCACTGTGTATCATGTTGTCTTTTCTTACATGTAAGCCAAGGTTTGTCTCGCTGAATTTTGAAACGCTTTCAATTAAAAACCAAACAATATGTACAATTAGTGGAGGGGAGGGCACCTGGACCTGTGCCCCTTCTCATGGCTCCGGGACCCTGTGGTGAATTCAACGGAGTTCATAGGATTTGACTGAGCTGCCACATGATGAAACTCATTTTGAAGAAAGGTGTAAATTTCCATGTACACCGTAGTGGTAGGTTTCTTGTTTTCTTAGGTAATATACTGAAGTACATACAGTACATACTAATTGTCCTGGAGTGGTCTGATCCATTCATTACATTACACCACAAATGTTATGTGAAACTGAATTTTATTAAAAAAATAAATTATTTTGGTTAACTACAATATACACATCAAACAATAAAATATTTTTTATGCACCAAAGATTATTTAAAAAAAAAAATTACCAGGTCACAACTTGGTGATTGGTGCTCTACATTAAAGTTTCTAGATCAACTACTGTAGAAGATGCGATAGATGAAGAAGAAAAAAAATTTCAGAGGAACTAATGATGGTTTTGTTGTGAAATCAATTAATTTTCCACTTGCTCTCTTTACAATCTGGTGCATAAAAAGGGGATTCTTTCAGTAGGGAGAAAACAAAATGTTAGAAAATTCAAAGGAAAATAATGTGCATGTTACACATTTATGAGGCGTAGACTTTTTACCCTACCACAAACAGTAAAGAGTTAATAAGTTGATAAGAATTATGCAAATCTGTTTCATTCATTTCCAGTTAACTTCTCATGAACTTGAGCAACTGGTTTCATATGAATAAAAAGTCAGTCAGTCAGTCAGTCGGTTGGCACCGTAGCTCCAATACCATGAAACGCAGAGACCTTAAACTTTGCTTGCATACTAAGGGGACCATGGGAATGTACACCCACTAAAACATTATTCCGCACCCGTGTCATATTGTATCACGCCGTAAGGGTGCCCAATAATTTTTTAGTGGGTGTACCAATAGCGGGAGGTGGATGAGTCGGAGACAATCACAAGGCACCCTTACGGCGTGATACAATATGACAGGTGCCGAATAATTATTAGTGGTTGTACATCTGATAGATACTTTTTAGATTTGGTAAAAAATAAAAGATAACTAATAAATTGTGAGGGAGAGAGTGCTAGTGATGCTTAGGTAGTACATGTAGTGTAGATGATGATATACAGTACTTGATGTAGTGTAAATTACTGTATTGTGTAATTGATGTAGTGTAGTGTAGTGTAATGGATGTAGCATAGATGATACCTGTAGTTTACAGTACAATAGTTGGTGTAGGGCAGATTTTAGTGAGATGGGATCTAATTTTACCAAAGTTATCTTAACACAGTCGACCAATCCAGTTTTCCTCATATACGCAATATACACAGTATATAAAGTCTGTCTAGTTATACACATGTGTTTCTCAATAATTTCACCTAAAAGCATGTAGGTGCTAACTGCTAGCCTCAAACAAGCATCTTGCTGGTCATATACAGTGACAGAGTTCATAGGGTCTTTGAATTTGATGTTTTTATGTGTGAGAATCTTGACTCACAAAGGTAAGTTGATTAAAAATCTATATAAATACATGACACCTTTTCTGATATTCAAATATTTTCCTCGATGAGTAAATACTGTACCAGAAGCCCTGGATTTGATTTGAATGCTGTTTTGTCGAAATAAAATTTAATTCTCGACTGCAGATATGTCCATGTGAACAATGATGCCATTTTTTATGAAATTTCATCAATATCAACTTCCTCGCCAAATAGGAAACACATAAATGTTGCTACTGTTTTTAGTGCTGCTACATCTTGAAACCTTCTGGTGAAGTCTAATACCTGTAGTACTGTAATATTTTGCACCTTTTCAATGCACTGTATCAAATTGTCAAATTGGTCACATTTTTTCCCCTGATTTGTAGCTCTGACTTTTTTTTAAATTCTGCAGATGGTATCACTGCTTCTGTGAGGACACCAGTTTTAGTGTTTGCTTAAAAGCAGTCACAGTGCTTATAGACAAACATGTACAGTTCAGTAAAAGCCCTCTTAACCCGTAACTGGCCTTGAGCGTTCAAGTACGTGATCACCGACGTTACTATCTCTGGTCATTCACATACTAGAACGTTTTCCAAATATACTTTTCCTGTGCCTTTGAAACCGAGTTTAGCTGCCATATCTGTTGGCTGGTGGTGTCTGGCATCATGTGTAAACATTTCCAGCCACTCCGCATTAAGGGAAACACACACACAACCCCCCTCCCAGGGGCCCCCACCCTTCTGTCTCTTCCCAAAGTCATGGCCGCTGATTTTTTTTCTCCAGGGATTAGCCTGTGGGGTATGGGATGTTTGTGTTCGCACTCAGGATGGGATGGAGAAAGGAAACTCACAATGTGCTCTCTGTATACATGTTGTATTGGATGTACAATGCAGCTTGGTGCTGGGAAGGCAGCATGGTTACAAGCGTGATGTAGAGAGTGCTCAGAGGAGGACAGCTTGTGGGTCGCCATGCTCTCCGGCGGGAGCAAGGACCGCCAGGCAGGCGGAGGAGGAGGAGGTGTTGCTGGCTGGTTGGTGTAGGTAGAAAAGAGAGAGATCACCACGAGATCAGGTCTTAAATAGCGGGGGGTAGGCGTGGCTTAGTAGTTGACCTCTGTGATGTATGGCGGCGCTGGTTGACCCAGACCACGAGGCATACACTGATGGGGAATTCACGGGGTCGGCTATGCAGCGACAAACAGCGTTTGTAGGGGAGAAATCCACTACAATCCCACCCGGGCAGTAGAGTCTCGATAGCCATGGCACGTGAACGTGACTGGTTACTCAATCAGGATGAGATATACTCTGAATTATTTGGTAGGGATGAAGATGAACATGGTATTGACAGAGGCATGTATGTATAGTGATATTGAAGGTGATGATAATGTAGTGATCCGTACTACGTGTTTGGACAAGAGGAAAGTAATGACAGCGATGATGATGAGTGGCAAGTGGAGGAGAGAGGGTTGCTGGCTTCCCCATCTCCAGGAACGTCCAGTACTCCTTCCACTTCACAGACCCCTACCACTCGTAGTCTCACTGCATTGTTACATCCACCCACACTCCTTCCTCCCTCCTACACTAGCTCACTCCCACCCACACTTCTTCCTCCCTCCCACACTTCTTCCTTCCACATTCCTCCCTCCCTCACTCCTTCCTCCCTCCTACACTAGCTCACTCCCACCCACACTTCTTCCTCCCTCCCACACTTCTTCCTTCCACATTCCTCCCTCCCACACTTCTTCCCTCCCACACTTCTTCCTCCCTCCTACACCGCGTATTACCATAGTAATCTAAGCACATTATAAGCAAATAATGTTAGTAAAATTGTAAGAAAAAAACGAGAGGGACAGAAAATACCTCCCCCGACCTTAAGTGTGGAGTTTGCCGCTTGTAATGAAGAACATCCGTGCTTATTTCAAACAAATTTTCTTTCGTTCATTCACATTTTTGAGTGAAAAATTCATTATGTATAATAATGTAACCTTTTATGGGATAATGGTTAATGTATTCTAATGGGGGGGGGGGTTCATTCATTTCTGGAGGGGATTTATTTAACCCCAAAAAATCTGGATTAGCCGAGAAAAAAGGCAATCCGGATTACTATCTGGCCATACCAACACCAGCTCCTGCCAAGCCTGTTAGCCAGTCACAGTGTTACAGCTCTCGTGTGTGCATCTTTTAACTCCTGTGGACTATTTGTAACGATGTAGACTATTTTCCATGGTTTCCAAAGGCAAGACATCTTCAAAAGGAAGTCAGAAGAGGGCTAGAAAGGAGTTTAGCTTGAACGACAAGCTCTGGAAGCTCGTGATAAAGGTGTGTTTACAAAAGTTTTCTTGGAGAAATATGACTAGAAAAAATCAACCTTCAACAACATAATAAACTTTGTGGTAAATAAGTATGTCCAGTATGTACAAGAATTATATATATTATACTGCACATTATTGTTTCAAGTGATTTAAGAATGTTTGTTTATTTTAGCCACCAGTGAGTAGATCCTGACTATTTCATATTATTCCTGACTCTGGATTAACAGAAATTAGTCCCTAGTGGTTTGTCAGTCTCGATAAAACAGAAATCTGGATAAAAAGTCTGGGGTTAAGAGGAAAGTTTTGAGCTCGGTACCGTTGGTGATATTTTTTCTTTGTCTACTGCCGTGGAAATTATTGACAGTTATAAGCACGCTTAAAACCCTGCTACAATGTGTTCAAGTGTACCAAACATGTCACTTGCAAAACCAGGTTGTGGTGGAAATGTGAGAAAAGATCCAATGGTTGCTGAATGTAGGAAATAATTGTACAGTTAAATAATATCTACAACATCCATAATTTTGCTGGTTTAAAATGTGGACACAGCGTCAATATTCCCAGAAGAAAACTGCATCTGATTCTGGTGCAACCTTGTCCCTGATAGATCTTCTGAAGCAGTGTACAGTAATTTGTTTCCTGAACGCTTGTCTGGATTATGCATGCTCAGTGTGCATTGCCAGAAGGTGTTGGATAGAAAGCTTTTACGGGAGACATAATTGATCAGATGGGTGAGATGGTAACACTTTTTCTCACCAGATACCCCATAAGTTATCAGATCATCGACCTGTACTCCCACTGAATAACGAATAGTGCAGTACTAAATTAACACTAATTCAATATAGAATGGTATTACTATGGATATTGTAAAATCTGATGTAAGTTACCACGTACTGAACCAACCAAGGAAGATACAGAGAGGAACTAGTTCTTCTATGGACTCCCAGTTGATCCCTAGTAATGAACAGTCTCCCCAACAGATGTCTCCATCGTTTACTGTCTGTTTAAGTTCATGACGTCACGTGTAGGATGAGCCCTGGCGATGGTGGCAAAAATACAATCCTGTATATTTATGCAATGGATGCCAAGACTAAAAACGTATACGGCATATGACAGGAGTTTACGCTGAAGACAATACCTTTCTCTAGACAACTACACGTTTTCTTTGGTAAGGAAGCTTCTCGAGAGGTGGCGCGGCAGTCAGGGCCGAACATCCATGAATCAAGTACTGGTTCCTCTACTGCAGGGGTTCTCAACCAGGGGGGAATTTCCCCCCTCAGGTTTTCAGGGGGAAACTGATACTAATATGGAAAAAATAAAGGATTTTCAGTATTATATGCATATTATTTGGAATGCACTTTTTGAGGCAGACAATCTTGGAAAGGAGGGGGGAATGACATTCTGACATATGGTGAAAGGGGTGCATGGGGCAAACAAGGTTGAGAACCACTGCTCTACTGTATATGCTGTTTATCTTTCTTGGAACCAACCCTGTTCGAATCCCCCCAATTTTAGTGATGGTTACCACCTAGTGTAATATTGTTACTAAATTATCACCAAGAGAACGTTGTTCTTCTCGTGTCTCTTGGAGAATCTCATAACAAACACTCTCTGGATGTATCTAGAGAGAAGATAAGTCCAGTTTACCAACACTTCTTCTGTACTGATGACGTGTATAATAAGGGTGGGGTGGAGGGGAGGCTCGACCCTTGTCTAATGAAACTCAACTGTTTGCTCATACAGTGAACTAAATATCTATCGGCTAAATGATTTATTATATTATGCAACGTATTGTAAGTGAAGGAAAGTAAAGCTTCATGTTTACAAGGCCGCCCTCAACCTGGCAGTCACTACCACCCATATACCGTATTATTTTTGTTTATTCAGTAGGTTAATTTACCCCATATTATTACCTGATATAGAAATAATACAAACATAAAACTAATGGTTGAAAATAAAATAGCATTTGAATGACTCTTTTGTGAATTTTATTTTGTTAGTTGATTTTTAATAATTAAAAAAAAATCGGGATCAAAAGTAACAAAAGTGATGGAACAATTATTGTGTTTTGATCTGAGGAAGAGAGACACTATTACACGATCTAAGTGAGACATACATTATAAAGAATTATTACAAAAATAAGACTGTAGCTGACGTATAAATTAAGTCTAGAATAAAAGAACACATAAATAATGAAGACTAAGAATGGACTCACCGCTTATGTCTATCCACAGGTTATTGAACGTGGCTCAACACAGAATGCGAGATCAGGAACACTGCTTCGCTCAAGTGAACTTGTCTTGAAAACAAAGAATCTTGTCAAACCAGCTGAAGATTCTTGCAGATAATTCCAAGTCGATTTTGGGGACGACTTCTCGTTAAATCTTCTGCGTCTGGATTATATTTATTCAGAGACATACGACACAAGGACAAATATTTCATCACAACAATCTAAATTGAAATTCATACATCTAAAAGCTATTGTACCTGCAACAAAATACCCAGTTCACAGAGCCTCTTCGGGTGCTAACACTCACTATTATAGTTACCCATAAAATCAATTCTATTTTCTTTGACTCCTAGTAGGGTGTCCATTTTCTGTTTTCTAAGTATACAGAGAAGATCCATGGATAACTTATGTAATCTGTAAAGTTTTGAACTTTTTTAGCCTTTTTTTCATTTGTAACATATAAACAGGGCTGAAACATAAGGGATATCTCTGTTATCTCAAACGGACGGACGTTCCCCTGAAAACAGTGATGACGAGTCATGAGTAAAACCTCTCTAATGCGCTGAACACAATTTTTACTCTGTCAAAAACACGAAAGGGCGCGAAGTCCTACATTGTACAATGTACAGTAATGTAAAACACTAACACTCGAACACTAATATTAGCCTCCTATCTGCCTCAACTTGCAGACGCAGCAGGAGGGGAACCAGAAGGTGTCAGTGGCGAGCTTGGTGCCAGAGCCGTCGAGGGCAATCAGTCGCTTTTGTACGTACTGCTGCTGACAGATGGCGCTGAAGCCGTCGGGAATGTTACAGGTGCCGGAACAGGTGTTGGTGCTGCGGGGGGCGAGACATAAGGACTTAAGGTATGCAGAGGAGTTAGTATGTTCATATATCAGGGGTGGATCCAGGAGTATCAAAAGGGGGGTGAGGGAACATGGCGAGCACAGCAAGCCCACCCAGCTAGGGTAAGCCCCCAGAATTTTTTTGGGAGATCTGACCAATATCATGGGCATTTTGAGGCCATGTGCACTTCATATTAGGAGATATTCTGAAGTCAATAGTATATACTTTTTACTATACGAAAATGCCTGGGTACAGTACTGCATTAAAAAAAAAGGTATTGGAATTTTTTGGTGGAAAGGGGGGGGGGGGTCCAGACCCCCAGGAACCCCCTGGATCTGCCCTTGCATATAACAATAAAATTTTACCATTCAATTTGCATATTAAAAACAAGTACTTTTTTGGAAAAAAGGTTTCCATATAAATGTTTAAAATCGCCGCAGGATACGAAATAAATATACAAAATAAATAAATTTGCAAAGAAAAATTTACATTTGCAGAAAAAACAAATATCAAGATAGACTTTGATATAATTCTTGTTTAAAAAGTAAATATGAACGTCTATTTAATAGTACACTTCTCCATACACATCCCTAGTTCATCCCCCCAACGCTCACCCCTCCCCCCCAACACATCTCTAGCACACTCCAACGTAACACTAGAAGGATGACACTCACAGGCACTTCTTGCTCTCTACTAGCTGCGTGTACTCAGTGGATACTTCGTTGACGTTAACCAGAAACATCCAGTCTCCTTTGTTGTTGAGGGCGGCCCGGGGCATAATGAAGTCTGATTCGTAGGGGCAGAGATCCGTTGGGGAGGCCTGACGACGCTGACGACGGTGTGAGGACCTCATGATTCTGAAGAAGGGAGAGAGATGAGCTGTAAGGGAGGGAGGAAGGGAGTGTGAGGTGAGGAATGTAGGGGAGGATGGGAAGGAGTGTAAGGGAAATTGAGGGAGAGAGAGATTGAGGGGTGGAATGTAAGGGGACAGAGAATATGAAGGAGGGAGAGTGAGGGAGGCAGAATGAAGGAGGAAGAGTGAGGGAGGGAGAATGAGGGAGGCAATGTGAAGAAGGATGGTTAAATTATGACAGGATAAGGAGGGAGACACATATACAATAAACAATATTGAAGAAAAAACTATAAACCTTGCTAGTACCAATTCATATTAGCTAGTGAGTGATAATAACAACTAGTTCAAATAGCTAACTGATCATTACTAACAAGAAATCATACAAATACTTACTCTTTACCTTTGAATATATTATCTACAAGTATTAGGTTATGTTTCTATATACAATAAATAGTAATGGTTTATATAAGAACAATTTATCATAAAAGGTCGGAAAGGGTCGTGTTAAAATTGACCCAGTCTTAATATCGAAGCATAATGTGTTAAATGTGATCCAGTCTTCAGAAACTGTATTTATTAGTAGTATATTATGTTGTGTGTGTGTGTGTTAATGTAAGCTGGAAGAATAATAATAATACCTGTAGCACTATACCAAGGCACCACACTCTTGGCACTATACCAAGGCACCATACCCGTGACTCTATATTCGAGACATCATACCTTACCAAATAAGCCAAGAGTTATTCTGTTACAAGCAATAAGCCACGCCCCTTCAAGCAATAAGCCACGCCCCTTCAAGAAATAGGATTCGCCCTTACATGCAATAGGCCATGTCCTCATAAACAATAGGCCATGTCCTCAAAAGCAGTTGGCCATCCCATTACAAACAACAGGCCACGCCCTATAAGCAGAAGGACAGCCCCGTAAAGGCAAGAAGCCACGCCCCTGTTTGCAGTGCAAGCAATCAATCACGCCTCTACAAGCAACATGCCCCGCTCTTGCAAGTGAAAGGCCCTGCTCTTGCAAGTGAAAGGCCCTGCTCTTGCAAGTGAAAGGCCACGCCTTTGCAAGCAACAGGCCACGCCCATGCAAGCACCAAGATACACCCTATAACAGGCCACACCCCTAAAAGTAATAGGTCACGCCCCTGCAACCATCAGGCCACATCTCTACAAGCAATTGGCCTCGCATCTACAAGCAATAGACCACGCCCCTGGTAAAGATAAGCCACACCATTGCGAGCCAAATATAAAAAAGCGAGAAGCCACGCCCCCACAAGCCGTGTAAGCCACGCCCCCAGAGGCGACAAGCGGAGGAAAGCCCCCTGGTGCACCTACTTCATCCACCAGGGCTGCGGTTTGGGCGGGGGTCGCGGGGGCGTGTAGCGCGAGGGGTAAGAGGACCCTCTGCCTGCAGGAGACTTCGGGTAGCGCGGGTAAGGGCCCTCGTTGTCGTACGTGGGCGTGGGTGGGTCGTAGAGGTGCGTGGGCGTAGGCTGGCTGTAGTAGCGTGTGGGAGGTGGAGCTGGAGGCGGTGGAGGGCCGTACTTGGAGGAGGGGGGAGGAGGTCCGTAGGGCTTGGAGGTGGTGGAGTAGTTCTGACGGGGCGGCAGGTACCCAGCGGCTGGTCTAGGGGGACCATACGTCGATCGTGGGGGCTCGTAGGTGGGTCGTGGGGCCCCATAGGTCTGCCGGGGTGGGTCGTACGTCTGGCGGGGTGGCTCATAGTCGTACATCATGGGTGGCTGTGTGGGTGAATCTCTGTGGAGGAAGAAAACTGATGAGAGACAGAGAAGCTGAGAGATAAAGAGAGACGGTAAAGAGGGGACTTATTACGGTGTATCATCTCTCCCGTCTACTAAAATATACACTGTTGTATACTGTATAATCTTGTAGGTATTATTTATTTAAGTATTCCTCGTGTAATTATCAATATTTTTCATCTTTTTTAGTCATCTTCCATCTGAGTAATTATAATATTTTGAACTGGAGATGTGTTCACTTTTCTGTGCTATTGCGGACTGTCTTCTGTTACCCTACCCATCTACACCTCCCTCCTCTAGCCCTTCCTTTCCTTCACCTTCCCCCTTCCTCCCTCACCTTCCCCCTTCCTTTCCTTCACCTTCCCTCTTCCTCCCTCACCTTCCCCCTTCCTTTCCTTCACCTTCCCCCTTCCTCCCTCACCTTCCCCCTTCCTTCCTTACCTGGCCTCAAAGGTGTAGGAATCTCTGGTCTCGTCCATCAACAGGGAGTCCACGTCAAACATCTTATTCTCCAACAGGTACACGATGCGGTCTCTGGTCACACGAGAGAGAGAGAGAGAAACAAACATAGAGAAATTAGTTAGTTCTTTCGGGTATTACCAAATCCACTTAGCAACCAATCGGTCAATCACCTTCCTCATAATGTAAAGGTGAAATTTAATTGATTAGACCAAACATAAATAAATATCATGGTTTTGGGATGTTTTCAAGTTGTATTCTGACTTACTTGGGATATTTCTTGGGCTGTAGGCAGAAGGTGTCGCGAGGATCCTTGACACAGTCTGGGGTGCTGCCGTGCATGGCTGGGACGAACCCATTATTGGGGTAGGCAGGACCTACTTCCATGGGCAACAGACCCATCACCCAGAAGCTGACCCCCAGCACCACGCTCCACTGTGGATGGGGAGGAGGGACAATAGGTTAAATGGGGGAATGGGGGGGGGGGAGGTTGATAACATACAGTAAAGGGGAGATAATGGGTTAAATTAGTTGTGAATGGAAGAAAGCAGCCGAGTTTTACTGTGTAGGGAAAAAAGGGTAAAATAGGAAATGAATGGGGGAAAATGGGGAGGGGGAGGAGTTGAGGAAGACTCCAATATATTCTAATATAATCCAAGTATAGCCAGAGACTCAGTTATACCCCAGCACAATACAAACATACCTAGGAACACCTCAGCATACCACCAACATACTTCCTCACTAATTAATCTCACTTAAGGTAAGATTCGCCAGCACCTTCACGATCTTCCTCCCATTAATCTTACGTAAAATATCACGTAAGTAATTTTGTTGAGGGATATTTACCCAAGAGAAAGATTAATTTTTTGTTGAAGAAATTAAAAAAAAAAAATGCGAGAAACTCCGTATTATTTTACTCGTCGTATATTCGTGAAAAATAATAGTTTTCTGTGTAATAGGTAAAAAATTAACCATTATGTTCACCTAAAAGAGGGAATGGGAAGGAGAGAGAAAGGTGGGGGGGGGAGGGAGGGGAGGAGGAGGGGGGAAGGAGACAGGTTTAACATTAGCAAAAGTGAAAATCAACTTGGCTGGATCTTGTGGGTGTACGGAACAGGTCGGTTAATTACAGGTACACACAGGTGGGAAGAAAAGGGAAGGGAAAAGAAAGAGGACGAGAGAGAAGGAAACAGAGAGAGGGGAGACGGAAAGGAAGGAGGTAAAACAAAAGAGAGGAAGAGGAAAATAGAGAGAGAGAGAGTGAGAGAGAGAGATCATACCCGTCCTGAGCCACATGTGTGCACCTGTACATCCTTCCCTCCTTCCCTCCTTCCCTCCTTCCCTCCCTCCCTCCTTCCCTCCTTCCCTCCCTCCATGATCACTAAGGACTCCTAAAGGGAAGATTTTAAAGACCAAAGGCTTATAATTATCATCTCAGGAATAAGGTGGTAGTGGTCAGTGGTTTCTTTCCCTTTAACCCTTTATTTATTCAACCATTTAACCCTTTATCTATTCAACCCTTATCCCTTTATCTATTCAACCCTTATCCCTTTATCTATTCAACCCTTTAACCCTTTCCTCACTTTCCCCTTTTACCTGTTCAACCATTTTTTATATATTAACGTAAATTTTTCCTTTATATATCATTCAACTTATCTACACGCCATCTAGTGTCATTTATATTCATTAATTCATACTTCCACGATTATAGTATCATTATTATCGTCATTCATTCACACTATCACTATAATTCATTCATGTAATCCCCTAATTATATGACCTCATTTCTTTTTCTTCATGTGTGTGTGTGTGTGTGTGTGACCCAAATAGGACAGTCAGGCCTATGGGTGACCTACTTTCACTTTACAGGATACAAAAAGTTCACCTGTTTACTGTTCACCTGTTTACCTGTTCACCTGTTTACCCGTTTGCCTGTTCAACCTGTTCACCTGTTTACCTGTTCACCTGTTTACCTGTTCACTCGTTTGCCTGTTCACCCGTTTGCCTGTTCAACCTGTTTACCTGTTCACCTGTTTACCTGTTCACCTGTTTACCTGTTCACCTGTTTACGGGTGATACAACGGCACCACACCTTGAACCCCCGTCACGTGACCCCTTATAAACTATTAGTGTACCTTCAAATAAGAACATAAGAACATAAGAATGGAGGAAACTGCAGCGGGCCTATTGGCCCATACTGGGCAGTCCCGTTTGCACCCAACCCCTATTGCTCATATAAGCATCCAACCTACTGTATGTTTGAAGCTATTTAGCGTATTCGAGTTAATGATGATATTTGGTAACTTGTTCCATTCATCCACTACTTTGTTTCCAAACCAGTGTTTACCTACTTAGCGCCTAAATCTAAATTTGTCTAATTTAAAACCATTGTTACGAGTTCGCTCCTGGTTGGATAGTTTGAGTACCTTTGTAATGTCCCCTTTGTTCAGCCCTGCCTTCCACTTATACACCTCTATCAGGTCGCCCCTCGCTCTACGTCTCTCGAGGGAGTGCAAATTAAGATGCTTTAACCTGTCTCTATACTCAAGGTTCCTAATGCCCGGGATTAGTCTTGTCATTCTCCTCTGAATTCTTTCTAAGGATTCTATATCCATTCTGTAATACGGTGACCAAAACTGAACTGCGTAATCCAGGTGTGGTCTCACAAGAGCAAGATACAGTTTTAGGATGACCTCGCTTGTCTTGTAACTAACCTTCCTTTGTATGAACCCAAGTACTTTATTAGCCTTGTTATGAGCAAAAACACATTGTTTACTTGGCTTAAGGTTCCTACTTATCATTACTCCTAAATCTCTCTCGCAGTCGGATTTCTCTATGGCATCGTTGTTCATCTGGTTTCCCTGTTTACATCTCCTATACTGAGTACTTTACATTTGTCCACGTTAAATTTCATCTGCCATTTCTCAGACCATTCGAAAAATTTGTTTAGATCTTCCTGCAGTTTTGCGGAGTCCTCGTCAGATTTAATCACACGTCCTATTTTAGTGTCATCAGCAAATTTGCTTATGTTGCTGTCTATGCCGATATCTATGTCGTTTATGTATATAATAAATAATAATGGTCCAAGTACTGAGCCTTGGGGAACTCCACTTGTGACGTTGCTCCAATGGGACTTAGTGCCATTAATGCTCACTCGCTGTTTCCTGTCCTGTAACCACGCCCTAATCCATTTAAGGATATTACCTTTGATGCCATGTGCTTCTACCTTTCTAATTAGTCTTTCGTGGGGGACTCTGTCGAAGGCTTTGCTAAAGTCGAGATATACCACATCATAATTGTGCCCCTCGTCCACCGATTCGAAAACTGATGAAAAGAATGTTAATAGATTAGTTAGACATGAACGTCCGCTTGTGAAGCCATGCTGGGAATCATTGATCAATCGGTGCTTCTCCAGGTGATTTCGAATAGAGTTTGAAATGATTGCTTCCAGTAATTTGCCTACTATTGATGTTAGACTGATTGGGCGGTAGTTAGAGGATAGTGATCTATCCCCCTTCTTGAAAATCGGTATTACATTCGCTATCCTCCAGGATTCTGGTACTACACCTGTTTTCAAGGACATGTTAAACAACTTTGCTAAGGGCATACTAAGCTCTTCCTTACATTCCTTTAATACTCTGGCAAATATCTCATCGGGACCAGGTGACTTATTAGGCTTTAGTTTGTCTATTTGCTTACTAACATCGTTACTAGTCACTACTATCTCGCTTAATTTGTTTTTTTTCACTATCTCTGAATAGAGTCGGTGCTCCGGGTATCATGTTTAAATTTTCGGTGGTGAAAACTGTTGAAAAATATTTATTCAAATTATTGCTCATTTCTCTGTCTTTATCAGTGAGCTCGCCGGTATCTGACCGTATTGGTCCAATCTTTTCTCGTGTTTTAGTTTAATACATTTGGTAGAATCCTTTGGGGTTTGTCTTCGCTTCCCTTGCTATCCTTACCTCATTATTCCTCTTGGCTTTCCTTATCTCGGTTTTAGCCCTACTCGCCAATACCCTATAATAATCCCGGAGGTAAATTTCGCCACGATTTATCCTTCTACCTATAGCCTTCCTTTGGCCAATGATGTTCTTTAAATAATTATTTATCCATTTAGGGTCATTGTTGTCTGATCTGAATTTTTTGTGTGGTATGTTCTGCCTTTGTGCATTAAGTAACTCATTATTTAAATTGTCGTGGAACTCGGCAATCTCAGATCTCGTTATCAGGTCTGTGTCATCTGTCAGGTTCACGGCCAAGCGCGACACCCCCTCTCTCAGCTGCCTCTTTAAACTGTCAAAGTTTGCCCTTCTGAAATCTGGTACTTTAGTGGAATTTTCCTTACGTTTGCCCTGAAAATCTAACTGGAATCTAATTTCTTTGTGATCGCTGTTTGCAAGTTCGTTCCCTACCTCGACATTGCTAATGAGGTTTTCTCTGTTTGACAGAACTAAATCGAGTATATTATTACCCCGGGTGGGTTCGGTTGTATGTTGACTTAGGAAACAGTCCTGGATCGTCTCGAGAAAATCCTCTGATTCTGAGTTACCCGTAAGGTCAGTCCAATCTATTTGGCTAAGGTTAAAGTCGCCTACTATACAGACTTTGTTGTGTATGGAAGCCCTGCGCATTTCATCCCAGATAAGTCGCTCATTGACGCTATCAAGATTGGGGGGTCTATGTATTACTCCTGTGATTAATTTTTCCCTACCGTCGATTAATTCTATCCAAATTGTTTCTTTATTCCGCTCAGTTTTTATTTCCTTATTTAGTTCACACTTCAGATTATCCCTGACATAGATTGCTACTCCGCCTCCTTTCCTGGTCTGCCTATCGGTATGGAACAGTCGTTTAACTTCAACATTAAATTATCATGGTAATTACGTAGCTACTTATGTCTTCTCTATTTGTTCTTTAGTATCTAACATATTCTTATTAAGTGTTACTATTATCATTATTATCAAGCACTGTTGGTGTGTACTGATTTTCGCTATTCCTTTAATTTATGCATAAATACAACGAAATTCCAAACCTTCAATCCCGTACGCCCTTGTCTCGTGTCCCTGATCTTACCTTAACCCCTGTAGGAGGTACCTTAAGGATCCCTCGGTATGGGGGATCCTACGTTAGGGGAAGGCATAGGACTCATCATCATCATCATCACAGTCATCTGCATAATCACAGAGTAGCGGCGTGAGTGTGGAGAGGTGCTGGTCGAGCCTCAGCTTGTGTATATATTAAGACAAGTATTTTAATCCTCTATTATTATTCGTTTATTTTATTTGCTACTAGTGCTTCTGGTGTTTACTGCCTCAGAGAGAAAACTTTAAAGCTGTTTCATCTTAGGAGAGAGAAAGTTTACGACAGAAAACTTGAATTATGTGATGTATTTTCACCCATAGAAATAGAAAGTTATTAAATCCTGTACCAAC